CGGTGGCCAAGGGGCTTGTGTCGGGCTCCAGGGGTGCGCGGGGTGTTTTGCAGGGCCAGGGCGGGCTGGTGTCTGGGAGGAAACGCAAATCAGAAGCTGAAAGGGGAACCTCGAGGGTCGCTTAATGTATGTGCGGCTATAGGCGGCTGTGAGCCTGTTCTTGTGTTGGCCCAACAATCTGCCCACTCTGCCTGGATTAATAACTACCCTCCCCGTGATTAAGAGGCAGCACGTGCCTTGTGCTCTGTTTGGCTGAGCCCTTGTGTTGCTGCCTCTGAGCATGATTTTGCTGAAAACCTGTGTTTTAAGCTGCTGTGGGTGTTTTCAGTGGTGTTTTCTCAGTCTGAGTTTTCTTGTGGGAGATATGGCTTGTCTGGCTCGAGCAGTGGGAGTCCTCGAGCCTTAGGTAGCTCGTTAAACAGGTTCATTCCCTTGCCTGTTCTACGGATTGAATCTTTCTTAAAATGACTTTGACCCTTGGCACTGTCAGGAACACGTTGAATAAAGGGGTTTTGTGGTTATCCGCTTTCAGCTGTGGACCCCCGTGTACTTTTTTTATCTTTTGCTGTTCTGTAATATCCCAGTATTGGTATTAATTCAACTGTCTGCCTCTTGTGTGTATTGAGCCCTCTGCAGACTTGCAGCACCTGTAAATGACGAGTGGAGGAAGATAATACCAGTTTTCTTAACAGCAGTCAGTAACTCCATGAACGTTAACGTTCCTTGTGTAAGTGAGCAGACAAGAATAGTGGAGAAGAGAGGAAAAAGTTCCCATGCTGAGGGCTGGATTGCCTTTCAACCCCTAACGCTGCATGGCCAAGGATTAACTCGCTTGTCTGGGGCAGCAGAGCTCTCCCGAGAGCCCAGCAGCTAGGGGGAGGACAGCAGGATTGCTATCTTGTCTGTTCCTGTTTAGGTAAGGAAATAGCAACATGGAACTGGTGTGTGGCCAGCAGATAAATCCTGTGCCTGTAGAGGAGGCTTCACTAGGTCTTAACCTTGAGTGAGAATCCCTGGTAAGTATAAACAAAAAAGTGACCCTGAGGCAACCAAGCAGATGAGGTTCAGGATATGGAGGAAGAGGAAGGGAGGGTAGGGTAAAGGGGGGTGTGAAATGCAGTGGGAAAGACTGTGATTTGTTATGGGGAGGAAAAGGCATTTCAGAACATGAAGCAAGGAGTGGAGCTGCCAAGATAACCCTGTGCAGATAGACTGGTATGTATTTCTTAAAACATCCCTGGCTTGGTAGTATTTTGCAAAATCAAGCCTGCAGTTGCTTCTAGATCAAGTACTGTAGCCTCAGTTCCTTAGGACACCTGGGAAAGGTAGAACATGGGATCAGAAACATCAGGACAGCTGGGACCTTAGAAAAATGCCCTGTCCATGTGGCATGCATGGCTTGTCATAGGCAGGCACTTGCTAGT